ACCAGGTAAGGCAGGAGCAGCCAGTACACCAGTTTACTGCAGTAGCAGCCATGTCAACCAGTTGGCCAGCAGGAGGTTACCCTACTGTAGCAGGAGAAGCCACGTCCTTTGGTACTACAGTGGTACTACAGGAGAATCCATGTCCTTGTTACACCAGGTACTACAGGAGAGCCACGTCCTTGGTACACACCAGGTACTGCAGTTAAGCCCGTCCTTGGTACACCAGGTACTGCAGGAGGGAAGCCATGTCTTTGGTACACCAGGTACTACAGGACTACAGGGTCCTTGTTACACCAGGTACTACATGAGAAGCCACGTCCTTGTACACCAGGTACTGCAGGAGCAAGCCATGTCCTTGTACACCAGGTACTACAGGAGAAGCCATGTGTCCTTGGTACACCAGGTACTGCAGGAGAAGCCATGTCCTTGGTACACCAGGTACTGACAGGAGACAGCCAGGTGTCCTTGGTACAGTCCAGGTACACCATGTAACAGAGAAGCCATGTCCTTGGTACACCAGGTACTTAGCCCAGTGTGATGTCCTTGGTACACCAGGTACTACAGGAGAAGCCATGCGTTTGGTACACCAGGTACTACAGGAGAAGCCACGACTTGTTACATCAGGTACTACAGGAGAAGCCATGTGTTTTGGTACATCAGGTACTACAGGAGAAGCCATGTCTTTGGTACAATCAGATACTACAGGAGCAGCCGTGTCTTTGGTAAACCAGGTACTACAGGAAAGCCATGTCTTTGGTACACCAGGTACTACAGGAGCAGCCGTGTCTTTGGTAAACCAGGACTACATAGCCATGTCTTTGGTAGAACCGGTACTACAGGAGAAGCCATGTGTTTGGTACCCCAGGTACTACAGGAGCAGCCATGTCTTTGGTACACCAGACACTACAGGAGAAGCCACGTCTTTGTTACACCGGGTACTACAGGGGAAGCCACGTCTTTTGTACACCGGGTACTACAGGGGAAGCCATGTCTTTGTTACACCCGGTCCTATGGGGGAATCCATGTCTTTGTTACGGGTACTACAGGGGAAGCCACGTACATTTGCACTTAGGTGCCCAAGTAATTGGAATGTCAATAATCTGTTTTGTGGTCATGCAATGTGGATGGTCTCGGTCTTCCTTGTAGGTAGAAATAGGACATTGGCCATGTGTATCTACACTGACTTGTCAAGAATCGTTCTTACAGAACTAGATGGAGGACTCGGTCCAGATACTAAAATATTTTATACAAAAGTTCGATCATTTAAGAAGGATATACATTAGAAGCGGCTGGGTGAGGGTGTCTGGTCCTATCACTGACTATAGAATGATTACCTGAAGGATCCAATGACCATGCTGAGTTCTTCTCCCCCCCGGTGGCCAGGTGTTGGGTGGGCCATACATATAGACATGGGGTTGTCTTCTTCTGATGACACCATATCCACCACCTGGATTGAATGAACTTCCCATGTAGATCTATATTGAAGGCCAGTCAGTATTCTTAAAGTAAAGGCAATTGTTTTTTGGATGGAGTGGCGAGGGGTTAGAGCTTCTGTCAGTTTTTCTGTCTGTCCTCTGGCCAGAGAGGTTCACCCTCTGTATTTGTCCTGGTGGCCTTTGACTGGAACCGAAAGTGAGGAGACATCGAAAATTCTGAGTAGTCACAAGAAGCAGAATAGAGGGAGATCCTCCAATGTGGGAACGTGGACACGTGTTCTGTGATACGTCTGCAGACCTCACATTGGGCAAAATACGTCTCACTTCCTGTTGTGCTTACATGCTAGGAAAGGAAATCTCTGATATGGGGCACGGATGGAGAAATAAACACCAGACGGGGATTTAACCCAACACAGCTGTGTGAATCTGGCCTCATTCCTTGTGAATCACCATCCATCATTCTGTGTGAGACATTCACCCAACGAGTCCTAAGGTGGCATCTCCTTATGGGTTCAATAGGCCGTGCAGACAGCAATCCTGATCTACAAAGTACATTGACAGATTTCTGTCACATTTCTGTTCTGAAGATCTGAAGTATGACGGAGTTCTCTGGATGCCTTCTATGGTCTTCCTTATCCTTGTGAGCAAACCATGAATGGTGGAGTGTCATGGAGGCTGGTTATGGGTTGGAGGCCTCATTGTATGCAGTCACTGACGGGGAAAAACACTGCAAGAAGAACTAACTGGGGTGCCGATGACTTGTTTCTATGTTCAGTGAAGAGTGGTGAGGGACAATAATGGCCGACACCAGGGCTGTGGGGTTCCAGCAGTCCTCCTGTACGGGGCCGAATCCAGCAAGGGGGCCCAGGCAGCTGGGTGAATTGGATGTGGGCAGGGAGATTGATCGACATGGTGGGGGGCAGTTACTGGAACCGATCCCCTGTACGGCTCTCACTGCAGCAGCTGAAAGCCGGTTTCTTCCCCTCCGCTTCCCTGCTGCAGAGAGAGCCATACAGGGAAGCAGTTACAGTAATCCGCCCCCCCCCCCCCCCGATGCAGCCATCACCCACCCAATACATACATTTCCCTCTGCTGCCCCCACCCCTGAAATGTTTCCGGCTTCCCTCCTCTCCTTCCCACCAGCAGCTGCAAGCACATAATAGGATCCTTCAGGATGGAGAGTGGGGGAAGGGTCTGGTAAATATGTCACATTACCAGCCCCCCTCAATGAACACAATGAGCAATTGGTACCAATCAATCACTGTGTTCATTCATAATTGCAGCATCGTAAACTGTTTTTTTTTTTTTTTTGTGGGAATGGGGGGGGGGGGGGGTTGTCAGGTTGGCTTTATGGGGCCCCATGGTTTGGAGGGCCCTGTAAAGTTGGCTGTATGAGGCCGCATGGTTTTGAGGGCCCTGGCAGGTTTGGCTGTTATGGGGGCCGCCATGGTTTGGAGAGGGCCCTGTCAGGTTGGCTGTATAAGGGGCCGCATGGTTTGGAGGGCCCTGTCAAGTTGGCTGTATGGGGCCGCATGGCTTTGGAGGGCCCTGTCAGGTTGGCTGAATAAGGCTGCATGGTTTGGAGGGCCCTATCAAGTTGGCTGTATGGGGCCGCATGGTTTGGAGGGCCCTGTCAGGTTGGCTGAATAAGGCTGCATGGTTTGGAGGGCCCTATCAAGTTGGCTGTATGGGGGCCGCATGGTTTTGAGGGCCCTATCAGGTTGGCTGTATGGGGCTGCATGGTTTGGAGGGCCCTGCCAGGTTGGCTGTATGGGGCTGCATGGTTTGGAGGGCCCTATCAAGTTGGCTGTATGGGGCCGCATGGTTTGGAGGGCCCTGTCAGGTTGGCTGTATGGGGCCCCGTGGTTTCTAAACAGCAGCCCAGATCTTCCATGTCCAGGAGAGGCCAGTCTTGAGCAGAGCTATGGATTCATGAGTGGTTCTGCCCGCTATGGATGGTTCTCTTTGCCGTATTGTGATGTTTTATAATAGAGCGGTATATAAGCAGCTCATTATCTTTATTCCTCAATTAATATGTGAGACTTCATTCGGGACCTGCGGCCCTTTTACTAATAATCAATAATACAGACATCACAAGTCACAGCATTCCTTCAGAGATATTTTTGTTCTTTGTATCCATTGTTCTCTATCATTCTGCAATTTCATTTCTATACAGAGATTTATCTTATACATCTTCTGTTTGATCTCATCAAAAACAAACAAGTATTTATATAAAGAATCACATTTCATGAGTCGCGGTGCCCATACAATTCGTGTTGCCTATCATTGCCTCATCATGCTTGGTGGGGTTTGGCTTGGTGCTGCCCTTCGGGGGCCATTTCACATTGATGAGTTCTGGCCGGTGCTGCACCTCACATGTCATTCTAGCAAAATCAATTTACAATGTACCATCTGGAATTGTGGAATGGCCCCAACATGGAGAATGTTACTGAAATTAGGGAGATGACACCAGCCGGTGCTCTACACTAGAATATCGGGGAAGTGAGGAGTCTCACATAGTGTGAGGTTTGGGGTTTCTTCCTTCCATACACTCCTCCTAGAGCTCATTTCCTGAATTAAACTAGATGTGTCCAGAGGAGATCAGAAAAGACAAAAAATTGTAGTGAAAATGATCACTGATTGTAAATTTCCCCCTCTAGCCCTATTGCCCCAGGCCCCAACCCACAAGAGCCATTATGGTAAATACAGCCCAGGCCATGGTGGAAAGATACGTATCTGTTTCTAAAAGTGTCTGAAGTAAGACCTGTCCTTGCTGCCATAGCAACCAATCTCTGCTTTGTCTTCAGCCAATGGGAGGATGCAAGGAGGAATCTGATTGGTTTCTATTGGCAGCAAAAGCAGTTCAAGGAACAGACACTTCCAGATCTCAGGACTGGTGGCAGATGTGTCTATGGAGTCATTCACTTGTTGAGTCATCTGAAGGCTCTCTGTAGGTTCCTTATGGGGAGATGCCAATCGTGAGTATTGTATCTGAATAAAATGTATTAGAAGCCTCTACTATGAAGGACGTGACCTCAACTAAGACAATCATTCGGGTCACTTATATAGAAGATAACCACAGAGGACAGGTTCTGTTCTCATTTCCCCTTTTTCAGATAGTCAATCATTCCCTTCATTGACGGGGAAGGTGGGTGACTGCTGACCCCAAAGTATGGAGCAGAAGACAGAAGTGTTGGTCATGAAGAGCCATAGACAATGTCCTTCATCCACCCTGGAAATATTGTGAAGATTGTAGAACGTCATGATTAGAAGACAATCAGTTCCTTGCAGCTTTCCAACGCGCCCAGCTTGTCCGATACGCATGGACAGGATTGGTCGTCATGGTGGTATTATTTTAGGAGAAGTTCCATGTTTTGGCTTAAAGAGCTCATTTAACTCTGAGCTGGAAAGTCCATAATAGAAGTTCTTCAGTCGGTTCCATTGCTGGGTAGGTGTTCCTTGCTGAAGTCACACGCAGAAATGGTCCATTCTCTAATAGCAGTTCCAGGTTACAATAGACCATCCTGCCGCTCAGGTGTGACTCTGTCATTGGTAAAGTCACTGCTATAAAGTAGTCTCACTGCCCCGGTCTCTGGGGTTCTTGTCTATGTCAGAGTCCTCATAGTCTGAGTCCATCTCAATCTTCACTTGGGGGACGGCATTCAGGGGGGTTTCTGGGATAACTGATAGCAGGAGAGGAGGGACAGGAGATCTTCAAATGGAGAGTAATGCTGGAATATGGAAGACAGAGAGAAACTCAATTATAATGGATAATCACAACTCTACGGTCATATTTGATGGGATCACAGGGTGGTTGGTGCGAAGGTTGGGGCTATAGGAAAGATAAATGTGAGGGTTACAAAGAGGGCTAGTGTACGGGATTGGGGTTAGAAGGAGAATTAGTGTGGGGGTTGGAGTTGGAGGGATAGTTCATGTGAAGATTTGGAATTACAGGAAGAATAAATGTGAGTTTTAGAGTTCCGAGGAGGGTGAGGGTTGTGTTTTGGGATGGTGAATGGAAGGGTTGGGATTATAGGGTGGGCTAGTGGTCGGGTTGGCATTACAAGGAGGGTTAATGTGAGGGCATTGTATCTCCCGATATCTGCTTGGAACTTACAGCAAAGTTTAGAGTAAGGGGAGATAACCGTCCTGATTGTTTTCGGGGCTGTGGTAGAACTGGCACATTAATACATATATGGTGGGATTGCCCAAAATTAAAACGTTTTTGGACGGAAGTTTACAAATGATTATATTCAGTTTTAGGTATGACTTTCCCTATAAAACCTAATGGGGTTTGGCTGAATTTGAACCCTTCTTCTTGTACCTCTACTCAGTTTAAATGACTTTCCTTTATTTTTATGGCAGCCAAACAAACATGAAGCTATAAAGCTTGGAAATCAGATCAAAAACAACACGGCACGGGACTTCACTAACGAGAAATTAGCTGCCATTCATGCAAATCCAATTGACCCAATATGGTCCATAGACCTTCTTATGTTACACAACTTTGTATTAATGGCAGGATATACTCTGACAGGCTCCACCCTTCCACTCTTCCCTCCCTACTCCCCTCCCCTCCCTCCCCCTGTTTTGTTCTTCCTTTTTATTTTCCATTCTCATATACACCATATTGCCCCAAGTATTGGTCCTTGGCCTTTCCACACACATGACCTTTAATGGCCCCCCCAGTCTTAAAACGTAGGGTTCAATATTAAGTTGGCCCCGCCCTTCCCACACACATGACCTTTAATGGCCCCCCAGTCTTAGACCATACGGTTCAATATTAAGTTGGGCCCCGCCCTTCCCCACACACATGACCTTTAATGGCCCCCCAGTCTTAGTCCGTACGGTTCAATATTGAGTTGGCCCCGCCCTTCCCACACACATGACCTTTAATGGCCCCCCCCAGTCTTAGTCCGTAGGGTCCAATATTGAGTTGGCCCCACCCTTTCCACACACATGACCTGTAATGGCCCCCCAGTCTTAGTCCGTAGGGTTCAATATTGAGTTGGCCCCGCCCTTCCCACACACATGACCTTTAATGGCCCCCCAGTCTTAGTCCGTAGGGTTCAATATTGAGTTGGCCCCGCCCTTTCCACACACATGACCTTTAATGGCCTTCCAGTCTTAGTCCGTAGGGTTCAGTATTGAGTTGGCCCCGCCCTTTCCACACACATGACCTTTTTAATGGCCCCCCCAGTCTTAGTCTGTAGGGTTCAATATTGAGTTGGCCCCGCCCTTTCCACACACATGACCTTTAATGGCCCCCCAGTCTCAGTCCGTAGGGTTCCATATTGAGTTTGCCCCGCCCTTTCCACACACATGACCTTTAATGGCCTTCCAGTCTTAGTCCGTAGGGTTCAATATTGAGTTGGCCCCGCCCTTTCCACACACATGACCTTTAATGGCCCCCCATTCTTAGTCCGTAGGGTTCAATATTGAGTTGGCCCCGCCCTTTCCACACACATGACCTTTAATGGCCCCCCAGTCTCAGTCCGTAGGGTTCCATATTGAGTTGGCCCCGCCCTTTGCAGCTATAACAGCTTCAACTCTTCTGGGAAGGCCCCCCACAAGGTTTAGGAGGGTGTCTATGGGAAGGTTGGACCATTCTTCCAGAAGCACATTTGTCAGGTCAGGCACTGATGTCGGGGGAGGGGCACTGATGTCGGGGGAGGAGGCCTGATGTTGGGCTGATGTCGGGGGAGGAGGCCTGGCGCAGTCTCCGCTCTAATTCATCCCAAAGGTGTTCTATGGGGTTGAGGTCAGGACTCTGTGCAGGAGAGTCAAGTTCCTCCACCCCAAACTGGCTCCTCCATGTCTTTATGGACCTTGCTTTGTGCACTGGTGCGCAATCATGTTGGAACAGGAAGGGGCCATTCCAAAACTCCTCCCACAAAGGTGGGAGCATGAAATTGTCCAAAATGTCGCCTTAAGCGTTCCCTTCACTGGAACTAGGGGGCCAAGCCCAACCCCTGAGGAACAACCCCACACCATAATCCCCCTCCACCAAACTTTACACTTAGCACAATGCAGTCAGGCAAGTACCGTTCTCCTGGCAACCGCCAAACCCAGACACGTCCATCGGACTGCCAGACAGAGGCGTGATTGGTCACTCCAGAGAACACGTCTCCACGGCTCTAGAGTCCAGTGGCGGCGTGCTTTACACCACGACATTCGATGCTTTGCATTGCACTTGGTGCATGCGCTGACCCCGCCCTGTCATGTGACGTGGCCTACCACTTGATGGCTGAGTGGCTGTTGTTCCCAGTTGTTTCCACTTTGTTATAATCCCACTAACAGTTGAGCGTGGAATATTTAGTAGCCAGGAAATGTCACGGATGGACTTATTGCCCAGGTGGCCACCTATCACGGGACCACGCTTGGAGTCACTGAGCTCCTGAGAGTGACCCATTCTTTCACCAATGTTTGTAGAAGCCGTCTGCATGCCTAGGGGCGTGATTGTATAAACCTGTGTCCATGGAGGGGATTGAGAAACCTGAATCACATGATATGGAGGGGATTGGGACACCTGAATCACGTAATTTGGAGGGGATTGGGACACCTAAATCACATGATATGGAGGGGATTGGGACACCTAAATCACGTGGTATGGAGGGGATTGGGACACCTGAATCACGTGATATGGAGGGGATTGGAACACCTGAATCACATGATTGGGAGGGGATTGGAATACCTGAATCACGTGATATGGAGGGGATTGGAACACCTAAATCACGTGATATGGAGGGGATTGGGACACCTGAATCACGTAATTTGGAGGGGATTGGGGACACCTAAATCACGTGATATGGAGGGGATTGGGACACCTAAATCACGTGATATGGAGGGGATTGGGACACCTGAATCACGTGATATGGAGGGGATTGGAACACCTGAATCACGTGATATGGAGGGGATTGGAACACCTGAATCACGTGATATGGAGGGGGATTGGAACACCTGAATCACATGATTGGGAGGGGATTGGAATACCTGAATCACATGATATGGAGGGGATTGGAACACCTAAATCACGTGATATGGAGGGGATTGGGACACCTGAATCACGTGATATGGAGGGGATTGGAACACCTGAATCACATGATATGGAGGGGATTGGAACACCTGAATCATTGATATGGAGGGGATTGGAACACCTGAATCACATGATTTAGGGGGATTGAGACACCTGAATCACGTAATTTGGAGGGGATTGGGACACCTAAATCACGTGATATGGAGGGGATTGGGACACCTGAATCACATGATTGGGAGGGGATTGGAACACCTGAATCACATGATATGGAGGGGATTGGAACACCTGAATCACATGATATGGAGGGGATTGGGACACCTAATCACATGATATGGAGGGGATAGGGACACCTGAATCATAGTGATATGGAGGGGATTGGAACACCTGAATCACGTGATATGGAGGGGATTGGAACACCTGAATCACATGATATGGGGGGATTGGAATACCTGAATCACATGATTTAGGGGGATTGGAACACCTGAATCACATGATTGGGAGGGGCGGGGCCAATACTTGGGGCAATATAGTGTATATAACAATTTATGAAATGTGTTTCCTCGGATTTGAATTGTTTGATTGTATCTATATGCCTTTTAAACATCTTATTGTGGTTTCTCATCTCTCCCTTCGATGTTATTAGGGGTGAGGCTTCTGTTAAATTCCTAAAACTCAATAAAACCTCATTGAATAGTGTAGGGGGAGGGTAAGGGGGGGAGGGTAGGGGGAGGGTAAGGGGGAGGGTAAGGGGAGATCTCGGGGTACAGTGTAGTTTGGAAATTTGCTCTGATAATGACCAGCGCCAATCTCACAGGCGGTTCCGTGCCAGAAGGGCGTGGCTACAAACGGGGGTCCATGGTCCAATTGTATTTCAATACTACTACTACAGGGCCACTAGAGGGGGTCAGATTTCCAATGGGGTCACCCTTCCATCCCGTCTGAGGGAACCTCTCCAGCAGGGTAGTCATGTTACAGAATCATACGTTACTATGGGGCCACATAAGTGAACAAAGTACTAGGGGCTCCCGTTCCTGGGACTTTACCCTCCCCCATCCATATGGACACCTATCAGTGGATCACAATGGATCACTTTCCACATACCTGCGGTCCATGTCTGATCCATTGGCAGAAGAGTCTGAATGCACAGCTCCAGGGTGGCCGGCTCGCTCCTGCAATTGGAAAAAGGTCATTTTCCACCAATCGTACGATTCGGATTCTATGAACACATTTTGCAGTTGTACTGAGAGGGGTAAGTATGCTGCCATTGAAGACCATAAGAGGAGACCCAGACAGACAAGGAAGGGGTCTACAGACGCACCAACTTCTTGACCCCCTTGTGTGCACATTATGGGGGGGGGGGTCGAGGTCATCGGGGGTGGGGAAATTTGTTAAAAAACGACTTGTCCCGAGGGGGGCTAAATCGGGGTCCCAATCTACTTGTCCTGATCTACAGAAATCTTCTTGTCCCAGGATGGAGGATCTGAAGGGTGTTATCAGGCAGAGGAGCCCCTAGGAATGTCTGGAGCTCTTTACCATTGCGTGGTTTATCTTCTTCCCACCCCCCCCACCTGTCTCCAGCCCCGCCCCCAAGGACTAGCAGGGAGGGGAGGGACCTTGCAGTGTACTGCAAACTGATTGAGTGCTCGTCAGGAAAGGGGCGTGTCTGGCTCTCTTAACATTCAGCAGAAGCACATCTGAGCAAGTAACTGAGGCGCCGGCTGGTGCCGGTTCACACATTGGGGTCCAATACCCAAGTGTTACTAAGAGCACCTCTGGGGTGACCACCCCCCAGGGGGCACAGACACCGTGGACTTTCTGCCTCCCTGGCTCCTGGACAGACAAGGTAGACCCATTCAAACCAGGAGGAACTGGGCCCCTCCAGTTTTCCCAGGGGAATTACTCCCGGGCTCCAACGCCCCGGTTCCTGCTTCAGCCGGTACTAGCCTTCAGAGCCCCCATCAGACCAGCGGGGGTAGTATACAGCCAGCCATTCTCACCTAAAAGGCCAGAATGCCGGCGGAGCGCCCCCTACTGGACATTGATAAGAACAGATACTACAGGTGACACTAATCTATGAGATAGACTCATTCCATGCAAAGCAAGATAGTTCCAGCCGTGATTTGTCATCATTGTGATGATTATGGCTTACAGCTCATGAAAACCCCAAATCCACAATCTCAGAAAATGAGAATATCGTGAAAAGGTGGAATAATCTCGGCTCAAAGTGTCCCACTCTAATCAGCTCATTCAGCCATAACACCTGCAAAGGGTTCCGGAGCCTTTAAATGGTCTCTCAGTCTGGTTCAGTAGGAATCCCACAATCATGGGAAAGACTGCTGACCTGACACCATCACTGACACCCTCCATAAGGAGGGAAAGCCTCAGAAGGGAATTGCAGAAGAAGTTGGATGTTCCCAAAGTGCTGTATCAAAGCACATTGATAGACAGGTATGTGGGAGGGAAAAGTGTGGAAGAAAAAGGTGCACAAGCAGCAGGGATGACCGCAGCCTGGAGAGGATTGTCAGGGAAAGGTGCACACAAGCAGCAGGGATGACCGCAGCCTGGAGAGGATTGTCAGGAAAAGGTGCACAGCAGCAGGGATGACCGCAGTGCCTGGGAGGATTGTCAAAAGGCCATTCAAAAAGTGTTGGGGACTTTCACATGGAGTGGACTGAGGCTGGAGTCAGTGCATCAAGAGCCACCACACACAGACGGATCCTGGACATGGGCTTCAAATGTCGTATTCCTCTTGTCAAGCCGCTCCTGAACAACAAACAACGTCAGAAGCGTCTTACCTGGGCTAAAGAAAAACAGACCTGGTCTGTGCTCAGTGGTCCAAAGTCCTCTTTTCTGATGAGAGCAACTTTTGCATCTCATTTGGAAACCAAGGACACCGAGTATGGAGGAAGAATGGAGAGGCCCAAGGACCCCGAGTATGGGGGAAGAATGGAGAGGCCCAAGGACCCCGAGTATGGAGGAAGAATGGAGAGGCACAAGGACCCCGAGTATGGAGGAAGAATGGAGAGGCCAAGGACCCCGAGTATGGAAGAAGAATGGAGAGGCCCAAGGACCCCGAGTATGGGGGAAGAATGGAGAGGCCCAAGGACCCCGAGTATGGAGGAAGAATGGAGAGGCACAAGGACCCCGAGTATGGAGGAAGAATGGAGAGGCACAAGGACCCCGAGTATGGAGGAAGAATGGAGAGGCACAAGGACCCCGAGTATGGAGGAAGAATGGAGAGGCCCGAGGACCCCGAGTATGGGGGAAGAATGGAGAGGCCCGAGGACCCCCGAGTATGGAGGAAGAATGGAGAGGCCCGAGGACCCCGAGTATGGAGGAAGAATGGAGAGGCACAAGGACCCCGAGTATGGAGGAAGAATGAAGAGGAACAAGGACCCCGAGTATGGAGGAAGAATGGAGAGGCCCGAGGACCCCGAGTATGGGGGAAGAATGGAGAGGCCCGAGGACCCCGAGTATGGGGGAAGAATGGAGAGGCCAAGGACCCCGAGTATGGAGGAAGAATGGAGAGGCCCAAGGACCCCGAGTATGGAGGAAGAATGGAGAGGCCCAAGGACCCCGAGTATGGAGGAAGAATGGAGAGGCACAAGGACCCCGAGTATGGAGGAAGAATGGAGAGGCACAAGGACCCGAGTATGGAGGAAGAATGGAGAGGCACAAGGACCCCGAGTATGGAGAAAGAATGGAGAGGCCCAAGGACCCCGAGTATGGAGGAAGAATGGAGAGGCACAAGGACCCCGAGTATGGAGGAAGAATGGAGAGGCCCAAGGACCCCGAGTAGGACCCCGAGTGGAGGAAGAATGGAGAGGCACAAGGACCCCGAGTATGGAGGAAGAATGGAGAGGCCCAAGGACCCCGAGTATGGAGGGAAATGGAGAGGCCCGAGGACCCCGAGTATGGAGGAAGAATGGAGAGGCCCGAGGACCCCGAGTATGGAGGAAGAATGGAGAGGCCCGAGGACCCCGAGTATGGAGGAAGAATGGAGAGGCCCAAGGACCCCGAGTATGGAGGAAGAATGGAGAGGCCCAAGGACCCCGAGTATGGAGGAAGAATGGAGAGGCCCAAGGACCCCGAGTATGGAGGAAGAATGGAGATGGAGGAAGTATGGAGGAAGAATGGAGAGGCCAAGGACCCCGAGTATGGAGGAAGAATGGAGAGGCCCAAGGACCCCGAGTATGGAGGAAGAATGGAGAGGCCAAGGACCCCGAGTATGGAGGAAGAATGGAGAGGCCCAAGGACCCCGAGTATGGAGGAAGAATGGAGAGGCCCAAGGACCCCGAGTATGGAGGAAGAATGGAGAGGCCCAAGGACCCCGAGTATGGAGGAAGAATGGAGAGGCACACACTGCAAGATGCTTGAAGTCCAGTGTGAGGTTTCCACAGTCTGTGTTGATTTGGGGAGCCATGTCATCTGCTGGTGTTGGTCCACTGTGCGTCATTAAGCCCAGGGTCACCGCAGCCGTCTACCAGGAGATTTTGGATGCTTCCTTCAGACAGCTTTATGGGGATGCTGACTTCATTTTCCAGCAGGACTTGGCTCCGCCCACACTGCCAAAAGCACCAAAACCTGGTTCAATGACCGTGGGATTACTGTGCTTGATTGGCCAGCAAACTCGCCTGACCTGAACCCCATAGAGAATCTATGGGGCATTGCCAAGAGAAAGATGAGAGACATGAGACCGAACAATGCAGAAGAGCTGAAGGCCGCTATTGAAGCATCCTGGTCTTCCATAACACCTCAGCAGTGCCACAGGCTGATAGCTTCCATGCCACGCCAGCATTGAGGCAGTAATTGCTGCAAAAGGGGCCCCAACCAAGTACTGAGTACATATGCAGCTTCTACTTCTCAGAGGTGCGATATTGTTCTATGTACAATCCGTGTTTTATTGATTGCATGGAATATTCTCATTTTCTGAGATTGTGGATTTTGGGTTTTCATGAGCTGTAAGCCATAATCATCACAATGATGACAAATCACGGCTGGAACTATCTTGCTTTGCATGGAATGAGTCTCATATATTAGTCAAATCAAAATCTCTCTGTGTATCCCCAAAGAAAAGTAAATCTTTCACCCTTGAAAGTACAAATATCATAAACCTTTTCTGCACAATGGGTTCACCTCACACACATTGTTTATAATATTGTATCATTTGAGCTATTTATCATTTTTGTTTTATTTTACAAATATATTATTATCCCTTTTTTTTTTGTCACGAGTGTTTTTGCATGACATCACACATTATTATATGATTTGAAAGATAATGCGCTATATTCAGTTTACATTTTTTTGAGGTATCTTGGATTGAAGTGGCGAATTGGATACTTTTCACATTTGGAAGATTGAATAGTGTGGACATTTTGTGGACTTTGCATTGTGGACATTTCTTCGGATTTATTTTGGAAATTTGGGGTAGAATTTGAGTTTTGGGGAAGGATTTCAGAAAAGGTTTATGATATCTCATATATTAGTTTCACCTTCTAAGTTGCTGCACTGAAATAAATGAAATTTTCACCAGATTCTCATTTTTCAGTTTCACTTGTACATCTGATCTTAGTCAAAAGTCGGAGAAGTTCACTCTAACCCGTGAATCTGCTCTACAGTAACAGCCAGAAGGTTCTTCTGGCCAAAGGTCCAAGGTGGTGTCAGCCGGAGTTGGGCTTCCAAAGTGGGCTCAGGGACCTGAAAACGACTCAGCGGCCCTTGGGGGGGGTTGCTATATTAAGCTCTGCAACAATTTCACTGACACAGCACTCAGTCTATTCGCCTTTAGGACCCCCCGTGCCCCCATATGTGTGTGCTGAACGTACAGAATCAATGGGGGGATTTACTAAAGGTCAGACACTCTGCAAGGGAGCACACACTCACTTTCCCAGATTTTGGCCTGATTTTTGTCTTTTTTGTATTTTCCTTAATTGGGTAATCTTTGTAAAGTGAACTTTTACCTCATTTACTGAGTTGTGGAGCTCCGACTATTTGCCTTTAGTAAATCCCCCCCCCCCCTCCCCCCCATTGCTCTCATTACATCTCAACCTTTCTTGTTTTGCTGAAGATGAATTCTACAGAGAAAGCAGATGAAACCGGAATGGAACTGCCTGGAACTGGAACACCCCTCCGGCATCACATCACCATTGTCACCATAATACCTCGTCACTCTCCAGATCTTCCTTCCCTTTCTTCTTCTTGTTTTGTCTTCTTGTTTCTTCTTGTCCTTTTCAGGTAAGATGTCATCCAACCAGGCAAGGTCGTGCTGGCTGAACACCCAATCCAGCATCTTCCTCACCATCATCAAGCCAAGGATCTGTGGGAACAAGTCAAGGTGGTGAGGGTCAAGAGAACGCGTCAAGGTAGTGAGGAGAGTACGCAACAAGGTGGTGAGGAGAGAATGCGTCAAGGTGGTGAGGAGAGGAACAAGTCAAGGTGGTGAGGAGAGGACACGTCAAGGTGGTGAGGAGAGTACGCAACAAGGTTCAAGGTGGTGAGGAGAGAATGCGTCAAGGTGGTGAGGAGGGAACAAGTCAAGGTGATGAGGAGAGAGAAACGTCAAGGTGGTGAGGGAGGAACGCGACAAGGTGGTGAGGAGAGAAACGTCAAGGTGGTGAGGAGGGAACAAGTCAAGGTGGTGAGGAGGGAACAGTCAAGGTGGTGAGGAGAGAACACGTCAAGGTGGTGAGGAGAGAACACGTCAAGGTGGTGAGGAGGGAACAAGTCAAGGTGGTGAGGAGAGAACACGTCAAGGTGGTGAGGAGAGAAAACGTCAAGGTGGTGAGGAGGGAACAAGTCAAGGTGGTGAGGAGAGAAAACGTCAAGGTGGTGAGGAGGAACAAGTCAAGGTGGTGAGGAGAGAACAAGTCAAGGTGGTGAGGAGAGAACGCGTCAAGGTGGTGAGGAGGAACGCGGTCAACATGTCAAGGTGGTGAGAGGACGCGTCAAGGTGGTGAGGAGAGGACGCGTCAAGGTGGTGAGGAGAGAACGCGTCAAGGTGGTGAGGAGAGAACGCATCAAGGTGGTGAGGAGGGAACAAGTCAAGGTGGTGAGGAGGGAACAAGTCAAGGTGGTGAGGAGAGAACATGTCAAGGTGGTGAGGAGGGAACACGTCAAGGTGGTGAGGAGGGAAAAAGTCAAGGTGGTAAAGAGAGAACACGTCAAGGAGGTGAGGAGGGGAACACGTCAAGGTGGTGAGGAGGGAACACGTCAAGGTGGTGAGGAGGGAACACGTCAAGGTGGTGAACACATCCACAGCAACGTCTTCTCTATTGGCTTCCACCAAAGATGATCTCTAGACTAAAGGTGGCCATACATCATACAACCTCCTAAAACCAGCCGACTAGATCTATTCATTCTGCCTCAGGCCCACCAAAGACGATCTCCGGACTGAAAGCCTTCTCTGTCCACTTGAAGATTTACCCCTCCCTTCATTTTCTGCTGCACTACTTTACCTGACAATTGTGCGGACATGCAACTCTGTACCCAAACAAAATTTATATCATTTTTTTCACACAAATAGAGCTTTTGGTGGTATTTATCCCCACTGGGGTTTTTTATTTTTTATTATATAAACGAAAAAAACAGACAATTTTGAAAAAAAAAACCCAACATTTTCTTTAATTTCTATTATACAACATATCCAATAAAATCAAATTTCTTCATAACCTTCAACCAAAATGTTTTCTGCTCCGTGTCTTCGGTAAAAAAAAGAATCCCAATACGTGTCCGTTGATTGGCTGGTGTGAAAGTCATAGCGCCTACACACTATGGGATGGATACTGGAATTTTTATGTATTTATTTTCTTTTCTATTAGTAATGGAGACGATCAGCGACTTAAAACGGGACTGCGGCGGTCAATCCGACACGAAGGCATCAATTCACTAAAGGTCACCGCATGCGATAACACGGTCACGTGACTCATTTACATAACTTATTGCATGTGGTAACAAAATGTCCAATTCACAAAAAACAAAAAAACAAAACAATTCTGCGGTATTTAACACAAAATAAAAAATGTGTCGCAAATACAGCAAAAAGAAAAAGCATGCAGTGCGCTGTTAAAGCGACGTTCCAGTGAAAATAGTAAAAAATAAAAGTCATCAAAAAACTACTAAAAAAAAAAAACTGCAGCTGCTGACTTTTAAAAAATGGACACTCGACTGTCCCGCAGTCCCATGGTGTCCCCCCGCCCCCTCTCCCCTGCAGCCCATTTCACCGGCTGTCCTGTGTTCCCAATGCCGGCATCTTCAGTGTGGGCCCCCAGCTGCGGCCTGCGGGCTTCACTGCTCACTGCACATGTGCGAGAAGCGCTGCGCCTTGTGAATTGTCCCGTAGTCTGTCATGTGACCCAGAAGACTATGGGGAAGGGGGGGGGGGTACCTGTCAAATTCGGGTACCCGCTCCCCCCCTACTCCCCAAAGGTGCCAATCCTCAACAGGAAGCGGGGGGACCAATCCTTGAAGCGGAAATTTCCCTTTTGGGTGGAGCTCCACTTTAAGTCCAATTCACAAACAGAAAGTAAAAAAAAATGTGATATTTATCCCTAGGGGTCTGGTATGGATATTAAGGGGAACCCCACGCCAAAAGAAAAACGGTGTGGGGTCCCCCCCCCCCAGATCTATACCAGACCCTAAATCCCTTAGCATTGTGAGGGACCCGCACGCCATTTTTTTTGTTTATTTTGGGGTGGGGTTTTTCCCTAAATCCATACCAGACCCAGATGTCCCAGTAGGGATGGGGGGGGTGGATGGGGTGGGGGGCGCACGCTGTTTTGTTCATCATTTGTAATTGCCGGCAGGTTTGTGTACATTCAGCTGTCAGTGGGTCCCCCCGCTGAGAACTGATGAATCATCCGTTGTTAAGGACGCGGCGGCCGGCTTCCTTAACAACCAGCGACCGTGCGATAAAAATTACCGCGTGAAAATATACAATAATTACCGCAATAACGATACTTTACCGTATGAGTTATTTACCGCCAAATTCTTTGTGAATTGCGCATCTGCAAACAGTGTACCACATGCGTTATTTTACCGCATTTTTTCAGTCTTTATTTAACTCTTAGTGAACTGACCCCAAAGTGATGCTGGGGGGGGGAGGGGAACTAACTGCCACTGATATCACCTGTGCCATTATGACAGTGATCAGTGTTCAGTGCTTGTAATCTGCACCGTCCCTGAACTAATGACACCACATGGAAGAAAAATATACCCGAAATGCTGCAATTTTGGCCGTATTCAATATATTTCAATAAATAAATAAATATATATATACTGTATGTTGAAATGCGTTTTTATTACAAAATATATGAAAAATATGTTTTAAAAATACATTTCACATATACTGTATTTCTTTACAAGTACAAATCTACATTTTTGGAATGGATTTACAAATATATGTTAAAATGACTTTTTATATGTAAAAAACAATTTGAAGAAATATTTAAAAAATATATATTTTTAAAAATGTTTTTCATATATTTTGTAATATATAAGAAACGCATTTCAACATACAGTATATATATATATAGATTTATTGCAATATATTTTGAATTATATTAAATACAGCCACAATTGTAGCATTTCAGGTATATTTTTCTTCCAGGTGGGTGGGCAGGAAGGGGGTTAACATCAGGGGTTACATATGTGCCTAGTATGTGTGTTGCGTGTGGGTTTTATTGGGGATCTGATTGGCTTTTGTGCTGTTTATATACTGACAGTCGTCTTCTATGAGTCTGAAAGCTGATCGCTGGGCGTCGGTGGCCAATCAGCAGCCGGCAACTGGTGATTGGCATGTGCTGTGATGAATCACAGCACAGGCGGTTGGGCGGGCAGCCACACCTATGCGCCCCCTACCCAGAAATGCAGAATGGCGTCTATATACGTGATTGTGCGCAGAGCGGCCGCCCTGTAGCAGTAAAGCTGGATATTACCTAATGGAGGAGCTCCTCAGATCTGATCACATGACAGTTAGCAGACCTCCTGAACCAGCCAACTGGCTTCAGGCCCACCAGGACTTGGAGGACGCTCTGCTCCCATGATTCCCTTCCTGTTCTACAGGAGGACATATTGGTGGTTGCTGGACAGACCAATGTCCAACCCCAACCCGGCACCACCAGTGGTGATTATTGAGGAACATACGGCAGGAACAGAAGGTCCCAGAGGAGTCATGGGAACTCCCTCAGCCATGACACGCACAGAGGAAGGCTTCCCACATGCAGCTCCTGATTCTTTCAATCCCAATCCACATGTATGTGGTTTTGTTGGTTGGTATGTATGGACATCAGTCTGCCTACAGACAGGACATCCTCAGGTTGCTATATGGAGCAGGGCAGATCATTGGCCGGGACGTCCTCAGGTTGCTATGTGGAGCATTGGGGCAGAACACTGGCCAGGGCATCCTCAGGTTGCTATGTGGAGCAGGGCAGAACATTGGCCAGGACATCCTCAGGTTGCTATATGGAGCAGGGCAGAACATTGGCCGGGACGTCCTCAGGTTGCTATATGGAGCAGGGCAGAACACTGGCCAGGGCATCCTCAGGTTGCTATATGGAGCAGGGCAGATCATTGGCCGGGACATCCTCAGGTTGCTATATGGAGCAGGGCAGAACATTGGCCAGGGCATCCTCAGGTTGCTATATGGAGCAGGGCAGAACATTGGCCGGGACGTCCTCAGGTTGCTATATGGAGCAGGGCAGAACATTGGCCAGGGCATCCTCAGGTTGCTATGTGGAGCAGGGCAGAACATTGGCCGGGACATCCTCAGGTTGCTATATGGAGCAGGGCAGAACATTGGCCGGGACGTCCTCAGGTTGCTATATGGAGCAGGGCAGAACAACATTGGCCGGGACGTCCTCAGGTTGCTATATGGAGCAGGCAGGGCAGAACACTGGCCGGGCATCCTCAGGTTGCTATATGGAGCAGGGCAGAACATTGGCCGGGACGTCCTCAGGTTACTATATGGAGCAGGGCAGAACATTGGCCGGGACGTCCTCAGGTTGCTATATGGAGCAGGGCAGAACATTGGCCGGGACGTCCTCAGGTTGCTATATGGAGCAGGGCAGAACATTGGCCGGGACGTCCTCAGGTTGCTATATGGAGCAGGGCAGAACATTGGCCGGGACGTCCTCAGGTTGCTATATGGAGCAGGGCAGAACATTGGCCGGGGCATCCTCAGGTTGCTATATGGAGCAGGGCAGAACATTGGCCGGGACGTCCTCAGGTTGCTATGTGGAGCAGGGCAGAACATTGGCCGGGACGTCCTCAGGTTGCTATATGGAGCAGGGCAGAACATTGGGCCGGGACGTCCTCAGGTTGCTATATGGAGCAGGGCAGAACATTGGCCGGGACGTCCTCAGGTTGCTATATGGAGCAGGGCAGAACACTGGCCGGGACGTCCTCAGGTTGCTATATGGAGCAGGGCAGAACATTGGCCGGGACGTCCTCAGGTTGCTATATGGAGCAGGGCAGAACATTGGCGGGACATCCTCAGGTTGCTATATGGAGCAGGGCAGAACATTGGCCGGGACATCCTCAGGTTGCTATATGGAGCAGGGCAGAACATTGGCCGGGACGTCCTCAGGTTGCTATATGGAGCAGGGCAGAACATTGGCCAGGGCATCCTCAGGTTGCTATGTGGAGCAGGGCAGAACATTGGCCGGGGACATCCTCAGGTTGCTATATGGAGCAGGGCAGAACATTGGCCGGGACGTCCTCAGGTTGCTATATGGAGCAGGGCAGAACACTGGCCAGGGCATCCTCAGGTTGCTATATGGAGCAGGGCAGAACATTGGCCGGGACGTCCTCAGGTTGCTATGTGGAGCAGGGCAGAACATTGGCCGGGACGTCCTCAGGTTGCTATATGGAGCAGGGCAGAACAGAACACAGGTTGCTATATGGCCGGGACGTCCTCAGGTTGCTATATGGAGCAGGGCAGAACATTGGCCGGGACGTCCTCAGGTTGCTATATGGAGCAGGGCAGAACATTGGCCGGGACGTCCTCAGGTTGCTATATGGAGCAGGGCAGAACATTGGCCGGGACGTCCTCAGGTTGCTATATGGAGCAGGGCAGAACATTGGCCGGGACATCCTCAGGTTGCTATATGGAGCAGGGCAGAACATTGGCCGGGACATCCTCAGGTTGCTATATGGAGCAGGGCAGAACATTGGCCGGGACATCCTCAGGTTGCTATATGGAGCAGGGCAGAACATTGGCCGGGATGTCCTCAGGTTGCTATATGGAGCAGGGCAGAACATTGGCCGGGACATCCTCAGGTTGCTATATGGAGCAGGGCAGAACATTGGCCGGGACATCCTCAGGTTGCTATATGGAGCAGGGCAGAACATTGGCCGGGTCCTTCTTATAAGTCCATATTATTACATTGTCTCTGTCACATACACAGTCATGCGTCTGAAATGCAGCAAATATATATGTATGTGCCCATTAGAAGACAAAATAACAAAAACACGCCTTTGCTGCAATATTCAGCTTCAGTCCAGAGAATTCCCCCGCAGTACTTTACTTCTGCTGCTAGATGTCCTCAATCTGATGGACAGCATCCATTGGCCCACTCCTCTGAGCCCAGCTCATCCTGGACCCACCCTCTGCCTGTGATTGGACAGTGAAAGGAGAAGCAGCAGAAAGATGAGCTCATCCCTTTGTCACTCCGCTCTCTCCTCCTATCAGCATACTGGTTCCTTGTGCTGCTGCTTCCTCTGCTGGTCCATGGACTGTGAGAAGCTGTTCCAGGTCACACGCAGGAACTTTCACAGCTTACATTTCAAATACAATGTTTCCAGAGCTCCATTAACCGCCTCCCACCCGCCGTATAAGGTAATGACGGGCGCAAGGCGGTTCTCTCGTTCATATGACGTCCTCCCTCTGTAACCGCATGTGCGAGGCTCCGGGAGCGCGCAGTGCGGTGATTGGTGGCGCGCTGTGTCCTTGGACACAGCGGATCATGGATTAAAGAAAAGTGCCGAAGATGTCGGTTCGGTCATGTGATCAGCTGTGTCCAATCACAACTGATCACATGTAAATAGGGAAATGCCGGTTATCGGCAGTCCTCTCCTCACGAGCCGTCACGCTGACAGAGGAGAGGAGCGGAGAGCCAGTAATCGGCATTCCTCAGAGGGGACATCTACACTGATCATCAGTGTAGCCCCAGCAGTGCCACCTGTCAGTGCTCATCAATGCCACATATCAGTGCCCATCTGAGCTGCCTTTCAGTGTCACCTATCAATGCCAGTCAGTGCTGCCTATCAGTGCCAGTCAGTGTTGCCTATATCAGTACCAGTCAGTGCTGCCTATCAGTACCAGTCAGTGCCGCCAATCAGTGCCGTCAGTGCCGCCTATCATTACCAGTCAGTGCTACCTATCAATGCCAGTCAGTGTCACCTATCAGTGCCAGTCAGTGCTGCCTATCAGTGCGCATCAGTGCCACCTATCAGTACCAGTCAGTGCCGCCTATCAGTGCCATATATGAGTGCTGCCTCTTAGTGCCCATCAGTAATGCCTGTCAATGCCCATCAGTGCCACCTACTAGTGCCTCCTCATCAGTGCCCATCAGTGCTTCCTCATTAGCGCACATCAGTGAAGGAGAAAAATCACTTATTTACTAAATTTTATAACAAAAACTAAGAAAAAATGTGTTTTTGTCAAAATTTTCAGTTTGTTTTTGTTTGTTTAGCACAAAAAATAAAAAAAAAAACCCCAGTGGGGAGTAAATACCACCAAAAGAAAGCTCTATGTGTGTGGAAAAAATGATAAAAATGTCATCTGGGTACAGTGTTGCATGACTGCGCAATTGTCATTCAAAGTGTGACAGCGCTGAAAGATGAACATTGTCCTGGGCAGGAAGTGGGTAGAAGTGCCCGGGAGGCAGGAAGGGGGTAGAAGTGCCCGGGAGGCAGGAAGGGGGTAGAAGTGCCCGGGAGGCAGGAAGGGGGTAGAAGTGTCCTGTAGGCAGGAAGGGGGTAGAAGTGCCCGGTGGGCAGGAAGGGGGTAGAAGTGCCCGGTAGGCAGGAAGGGGGTAGAAGTGTCCTGTAGGCAGGAAGGGGGTAGAAGTGCCCGGTAGGCAGGAAGGGGGTAGAAGTGCCGGTGGGCAGGAAGGGGGTAGAAGTGCCGGTGGGCAGGAAGGGGGTAGAAGTGCCCGGTAGGCAGGAAGGGGGTAGAAGTGCCGGTGGGCAGGAAGGTGGTGACAGTGTCTGATAGGCAGGAAGGGGGTAGAAGTGTCCGATAGGCAGGAAGGGGGTAAAAGTGCCCTGTAGGCAGGAAGGGGGTAGAAGTCCCCGGTGGGCAGGAAGGGGGTAGAAGTGTCCCCTGTAGGCAGGGAGGGGGTGACAGTGTCCGGTAGGCAGGGGGTGACAGTGTCCGGTAGGCAGGGGTGACAGTGTCCGGTAGACGAGGGGTTAATGAGCGTCTTTTATATCGGCCTGGAGTTCTTCTTTAATAGCTTCCCTTAAACTCTACAGGCAGGTGAATGAAGATCTTCAGACTGACCACACCTGACATTTGCCCGCTTTGTGGTCATATAACGGGTGAGGAGTGAACTGTCACTTTCGCTCCCATCATTCATTACACCTACAATGGATATGAAGAGATCCCATCCCGTGTATCCTTCTAGAATAGCAGAATAATGGGGGAATATATGTTCTCCTTACCATGACGGGGAAAATGATGGCGGCAACAGTAGACTTGAGTATCCACAGAACTGTCAGGCAGATGATCTGAACGATGGTGAATAGATGGACCCGGCGCAGAGGGACGTGCCGGAGATATGCATAGTCAGGCTGATGCTTTGCTGGCATTAGGAAGAGCTTGCAGCGATCCCAGAACTAAGAAACGATAAATACACAATTTACTTCATTTTGCTTTTCCATTTCTGTAAGAATATTTTTGTTTTCTTATTAAACTCTTTTATTGAGTACAAACAGCAAATAATACAAAAGTAATGTGAAGACGAAGGTCGGAGTATAAAGACTGAAGGTCGAAGTATAAAGACGAAGGTCGGAGTATAAAGACGAAGGTCGGAGTATAAAGACTGAAGGTCGGAGTATAAAGACGGAAGGTCGGAGTATAAAGACTGAAGGTCGGAGTATAAAGACGAAGGTCGGAGTATAAAGACTGAAGGTCGGAGTATAAAGACTGAAGGTCGGAGTATAAAGACTGAAGGTCGGAGTATAAAGACGAAGGTCGGAGTATAAAGACGAAGGTCGGAGTATAAAGACTGAAGGTCGGAGTATAAAGACTGAAGGTCGGAGTATAAAGACTGAGTTAGAGTATAAAGACGAAGGTCGGAGTATAAAGACGAAGGTCGGAGTATAAAGACTGAAGGTCGAAGTATAAAGACGAAGGTCGGAGTATAAAGACGAAGGTTGAAGTATAAAGACGAAGGTCGGAGTATAAAGACTGAAGGTCGGAGTATAAAGACGAAGGTCGGAGTATAAAGACGAAGGTCGGAGTATAAAGACTGAAGGTCGGAGTATAAAGACGAAGGTCGGAGTATAAAGACGAAGGTCGGAGTATCGGACTGAAGGTCGGAGTATAAAGACGAAGGTTGGAGTATAAAGACTGAAGGTCGGAGTATAAAGACTGAAGGTCGGAGTATAAAGACTGAAGGTCGGAGTATAAAGACTGAAGGTCGGAGTATAAAGACTGAAGGTCGGAGTATAAAGACTGAAGGTCGGAGTATAAAGATGGTGGGTAGGAGGCGGAGACAGGGGGTGACTCAGAAGGGGAGTACCTGCACCTATTCTCTGAGTATAAGAAGCCCTCTGTGTTATCAGGGAGCTCCATACTCCGGTACCTCCATACTCAGGTACCTCCATACTCAGGTACCTCCATACTCCGGTACCTCCATACTCCGGTACCTCCATACTCCGGTACCTCCATACTCCGGTACCTCCATACTCCGGTACCTCCATACTCAGGTACCTCCATACTCCGGTACCTCCATACTCAGGTACCTCCATACTCAGGTACCTCCATACCAGGTACCTCCATACTCAGGTACCTCCATACTCCGGTACCTCCATACTCAGGTACCTCCATACTCCGGTACCTCCATACTCAGGTACCTCCATACTCAGGTACTCGGTACCATGGCTGCCTCTATTACCTGTTCACCTCTCCCCCCCCCATTGAAGTTTGTCCACTGGGATCCTGGGATTGGAGGAAGATGCTGACATCTAGAGGACATTTCTTGTACTACATTTTGGGAATAGAACTGAAAGCGAAGTATGTTTTTTGGTTAGGCTTCTCAGTGGGGAGTTTTACTTTTTTGGGTTTTTTTCTCGCTCAACTTTCTTGCATTCTTTTCCTCTGGAAGGATAATTTACTACCAGGTTGAGGGGTTGGCGACCCCTTTTACAGACCTCCCAGGAGGACCCGAGGGGCTCATGTGATTATATGTCATTATTATGGATTTGTTCTCGTGGAATATTAGAGGCCTTCATAATAAATATGATCTGTGATGTTCAGATATCTGCAGGCCCATATCCCTCATATCTAATTCCTCCAGGAAACACATCTGACGGGTAATAGAATCCAAGCGCTTCGCAAGGCCTGGGATAAACAAGGTTTCCACGCCACCTATTCCTCCTACACCCAAAGGGGTCACCATCCTGCTTTATACATCTTTACCATGTACAGTTATGGGGGTCATGACTGGCCCTGGGGGTCATGATATTATTTTGTTGCTGGAAGTCATGGCAATGGTAGGGGGGCATTTCTCAATATATACCTCCCACCCCCTTTTGATCCTACCATTCTGTATCTCCTCCAGGAAAAATTGGCTCCATATCAGCCCGCAAAGGTGGTATTGGGAGGGGATTTTAATGCCATACGTGATGAAGTCCTAGACACGTCCAGTCCTAGTAGGGGTTCTGCTCCAGACTTAGTGGGTTGGGCGGATGGTTTTCAGCTAACGAAGCTTTGGGGTTGGAAACACCAGGAAGAAACGTTTTATTCTCATCTCTGCACCTCATAGATCTGGGCCTCACATTGACTTAGTGTTTGGGGCCTCCTCAGTTCTACCGGCGGGACTGTCCGATCACTCTCCTCTCGGCTTGTCCTGAGGTTCGAGGACCAGCAGGACTCTGGTTGCTGGTGGCCAGCCCCAGGGTGGATTCAGGTCCCGGAGCTGGTCAGTGCACACTTGTCTGATTTCTTGCCTTTGAATGAGAGCTCCGCCTCCTCGATTATGGTCTGGGAGGAGCACAAAGCCACTTCCAGAGGGGAGTATATCTCTGCAATTAAAGCCACACGCACAGAATATCCTCCCCAGGGGCGGACTGACAACTCCTGGGGTCCCCGGGCAATAGGGAATCATGGGGCCCCTATGTTCCCACCCACACTCAAAACCACATCCAAAAAAGTCTATGAAAGGTACTAGGGGCATCTCATGGGGCCCCCTACTAACCCTGGGCCCTCGGGCAGTGCCCTAGTGCCTGAAAGGTCAGTCCGCCCCTGATCCTCCCAGACTACTTGGCTTGAGGAGCAGGAAGCCAAGGCTGCGAATGCCAACCCCAGAGAACTACTGCCACATGACATAAACCAGACGGGACTTGAAAATGCCCCTCACTACCCTTACTCACTCGGGCATCAGGGCCTTGGCAGGGAAACTAACCCTAACGAATCAGGAGGCAAGAATGGGAGGCTCCTTGCCAATCTCATAGCGGGCCCCTGCAACCAAAGAGTAGTGCCAGGTAGGTAGGTAGGTATGGAGGTGAGAACACCGACATTGGCCACTTACATTGGGTGGATGTGTCACATGGTAGGTATGGAGGTAAGAACACCGACATTGGCCACTTACATTGGGTGGATGTGTCACATGGTAGGTATGGAGGTGAGAACGCCGACATTGGCCACTTACATTGGGTGGATGTGTCACAAGGTAGGTATGGAGGTGAGAACACCGACATTGGCCACTTACATTGGGTGGATGTGTCACAAGGTAGGTATGGAGGTGAGAACGCTGACACTGGCCACTTACATTGGGTGGATGTGTCACATGGTAGGTATGGAGGTGAGAACGCTGACATTGGCCACTTACATTGGGTGGATGTGTCACATGGTAGGTATGGAGATGAGAACACGGACATTGGCCACTTACATTGGGTGGATGTGTCACATGGTAGGTATGGAGGTAAGAACACCGACATTGGCCACTTACATTGGGTGGATGTGTCACATGGTAGGTATGGAGGTGAGAACACCGACATTGGCCACTTACATTGGGTGGACGTGTCACACAGGTAGGTATGGAGGTGAGAACACCGACATTGGCCACTTACATTGGGTGGATGTGTCACAAGGTAGGTATGGAGGTGAGAACACCGACATTGGCCACTTACATTGGGTGGATGTGTTCCAAGGTAGGTATGGAGGTGAGAACGCTGACATTGGCCACTTACATTGGGTGGATGTGTCACAAGGTAGGTATGGAGGTGAGAACACCGACATTGGCCACTTACATTGGGTGGATGTGTCAAAAGGTAGGTATGGAGATGAGAACACGGACATTGGCCACTTACATTGGGTGGATGTGTTCCAAGGTAGGTATGGAGGTGTGAACACTGACATTGGCCACTTACATTGGGTGGATGTGTCACAAGGTAGGTATGGAGGTGAGTGTGTACACCGGGGTATAGACAGATGTTCCATTCAGCTGCATACAACCATCATGACAAACTCGATGACAGCGGCTGTAAGAATCTTCCTGCACATCCAGTCTTCACATTCATACAGAGAAGGACACAGTCTGCTTTCTGTGAGCCCAGGTCGTCAATAACATCTCTTGGAGGTACATCATCATGGCGACCTGGGCTCAGAGGAGGCTGCTGGCTTCATTCTAGAGGTGAGATAGAGATGATTATTAAAAATATGGAGACTTACCTGAATTCCATTGAGCGACGCGACTCCCATGTACAGAAAAATGCCGTACAGAACCGGCATTGGAATATACTGGAAGAAAAATGAAAAAAATAAACAGATAGATCTAGAGGAAGCTGCCTGATTGTCACGTCATCGGCATCTGGGGCAGTCATAGCAACCACACGTGGCCCCATGGTGCTGGTCTGAGGGGGCAAATCCCAGACCTGGTTCAAGAAAGGTTGACCTTTTCTTCTCATTGGTCAGTGAATGTCTCATTATCTTCCTATGGCTCTCCATATGAAGGTCATACAGTGAGGAGACCTCCACATCGGGGTTCATATATGTTTTCTGGGAGGCTCACGTGAAATTGGAAAAGACTAATTCTAGAGAGTTAAGCAGATTTAAAATGATAAAACTATCAGGAAAGCGAATTTTTATTGATAATATTTGTTATAAAAGGAGCTGAACGGAATTGTGTGAAATACGTCGTGACATGTTCCATCATTATCACCTCTTCTTCCAGCACGATGACGTCTTCTGATGATTCGGGATTGGGTATGTACAGTTGTGTTGAAAATACTACCAGACATCACTAACCGGATCAATCGCTGTTTTTGGTGGAAATGATATTTCTACATGGCAGATAATTTCCTAGCAGGTGTAGTAGAGTCATAGAAATCCAACAGACCCGACAGTCATGACATGCGTGCTGCTGATTCTGTGTCATTGAATCACTCATTGAGTGGCGTGTTCACAATAATAGCCGTGTGGAGTTCTATTAGTGACGTCATTCATTCTTTGAGAAACAGGAGGCAATTATTGCCCTTATTTAACTACCTGCCGACCGCAGATAGCCGAATGACGACTGCACTGCGGCCGG